AAACAAAACTTCAAGAACACGGCCACGCAGCCCGGAAGACCCACACCAGCCATCGTATGCCAGCTGTGAAAGCCTTCGACAATACAATGACTGAAATGTTATATAAGAAAGGTGAAAAATATACAAACCTACTTGATGTACCACATGACCTGTTTTTTTCTTGGGGTCCATCTGGAGGCATATGGAGCATATCCTGTTCCAGAAATAATTAGATCATAAAAACTCACAAGAATATCTTAGAGTTAAAAAAAAAGAAAGAAAAAAAACCCTGATCTGTTCCTGTCTAAAATTACTCTGGAACCTTGCAACTATGTACTGTACATGAATTGCTTGAAACTACTGGGTTGAAATGGACCTATTATTTCTATATTTTTCCAAAAGACTACACATCCTATCAAGACAGAACTAATGATATATACAAAATTAACTGCCTGGATTGCAACCAGCACTACATAGGACAGAGTGCTAGCTGCATCTAAGAATTAAGGAACACAAACTGCAATAGAGAACCAGGACTGCAAATACCTAACAGCCAGCACACCTTCACCCAAACAGCAGGAGAACCAGAGAATTCCTGGAAGCCGCCTGGCATTCAAATAAAAGGCTAATAACAGATCAATGGAGCTGGCTACAACCTACCACTATCCTAACTATGAAAGCCAGAGTTCTGGGATCAGGAGGAACTGGTGGCCCTGGGGGGTTTAGGGGGGGTTATACCATTCAGGTGGTGGCAAGATGTTATGACAGGAGTTAGAAGGCAGGCTACTCTTGGGGAAGATGCCCCCAGTGTTTGTTACCAGTGGTGTGTTCTGGCCTTCTGGACTCAGGCTCAGGCCCTGGACAGCAGATGCACGGAGGCCCTGGCTTTCGGCTGCTGCTTCTTAACGCCAGGTCAGTTAACAACAAGGCCCCCTTATATGGGATCTGATCACTGAGAAGCAAGCCGACCTGGCATGTATCACTGAGACCTGGCTGGGCCCTGAAGGGGGCGTGCCCTTTTGGAAATGTGCCTAGCCAAGTTTATGGTTTGGCACCAGCCAAGACCCCAGGGCAGGGGAGGAGGGGTAGCAGTTGTCATCCGGGAATCTCTGTTGGCCTTCAGGGGCATTGCTCTACAAGTGGCCAGTGGTGAGACCCTGTTCCTGAAGTTAGGCTTGCAAGAACAGTTGGGATTGTTGTTGCTGTAACAGCTTCCCTGATGCATAGCAACCTCCCTGCCTGAGCTGCTGGAGGCTGTTGCGGGGCTGGTGGTGGAGTTCCCCAGATTTATGGTCCTGGGGGACTTCAACCTGCCATCCCTAGGGCGTGCCTCAGAGGCAGCTTGGGAGTTCATGGTCACCATGGTGGCCAAGGGCCTGTTATTTGTGACCCAGCTCGGGACAGTGATCTCACAGCGGACTTGATTTTCTTGTCAGAGTGGTGGCAATGTGATCTGAAGGAGGCATTATATCCGTCCCCCTTGTCATGATCAGATCATGCCCTGATGGCCCTGAGGTTCTCCTACGCTAACTCCCTCTGCAGCAAGGCAGGACCTATTCAACTGGTCTGCCCATGGCAACTGATGGACCCAACTGGGTTCCAAAGGCAGCTGGGGGTTATACCCAAGGGTCTGCTGCACGGTCCAATGGAGGCCTGGAATAGGGAAGCAGCTGAGGCCTTGGACAAGATTGCGCCCGTGTGACCTCTCCTAACCCATCGAGCCCAACACTCCCCATGGTTCATGGAGGAGTTGAGGGTCTTGAAAAGGATTAAGAGACATCTAGAGCGTCGTTGGAGGAAAACAAGGACCAAACACGACCGAACACAAGCTAGAGCTGCGATTAGGGCCTACCTTGTGACTGTAAGAGCAGCAAAATACCAACATTTCTCCACTCTTATTGCATTCACAGAATGCCGCCCAGTGGCCCTGTTTAAGATCATCTGACCCCTTTTGGGAAAGGGGGGCCCAGTGGCCCATTTACAGTGCCACGCAGAGGAGTTTTCTGGGCATCTAGAGGATAAAGTCACTTGCATCTGGTCCCAGTTGGATACCAAACATGCAGCATGGTCTATAGAGATGTCCAGGGTATGGACTTACCTTGTTATCTGGGAACAGTTTGAACTTGAGGAAGTGGACAGGGTCCTCCGAATGGTCAATGCCACCACTTGCCAACTAGATCCATGTCTCTCTTGGCTGGTTAAGGCTGCTATGGAGGTGACATGTGGGTGGGACCAGGCGATGGTGAATTCATCCTTGAGGGAGGGAGTGTTTCCAGCTGCCTTTAAAGAGGCACTAGTGCATCCTCTCCTCAAGAAGCCATCACTTGATCCCACCATACTGGTCAATTTTCATCCAGTCTCCCACCTCCCCTTTTTAGGGAAGGTGGTTGAGAAGGTTGTGGCATTGCAACTCTAGAGGATCCTGGAGGAAACAGATTATCTGGACCCCTTCCACTCAGGTTTAGGCCTGGATTAGGGACAGAAACAGCATTGGTTGCACTCATGGATTATCTCTGGTGGGAGCAGGATGGGGGTAGTCCATCCCATCCTTGCTCTTCTTGACCTCTCTGGAGCTTTCGATACCATCTACCATGGTATCCTTTTGGGTTGACTTAGGGAGTTGGGAGTTGGCGGTGTAGTTTTGCGCTGGTTCTCTTCCTTCCTCCAAGGTTGATCCCAATCAGTGTTGGGAACAAGAGATCTAGCCCACAGCCCCTCCATTGTGAGGTGCCGCAGGGTTCAATACTTTCTCTGCTCCTTTTTAACATCTACATGAAACCACTGGGTGAGATCATCTGCCACTAATGTGCTGATGATACCCAGTTATACATCTCCATCCCGGATGACTTGGGTGACACTGTAACCACCCTTTTGTGGTGCCTGGAGGCTGTGAGGGTCTGGATGGGGAACAACAGGCTTCAGCTGAACCATGGTAAGATGCAGTGGCTGTGGACTGGAGGCCCCTCTGTATCTGAGAATTTACCATCTTTGGCTTTGGATGGGGTGACACTGCCCCAGACAGATCCGTTGCGTAATCTGGGGGTCCTTCTGGACTCACAACTCCTGCTCAAGGAGCAGGTGGCAGTTGCGGCCAAGAGGGCCTTTGCCCACCTTTGTGTAGTGCACCAATTATACTCCTTCTTGGATCAGGAGGCTCTCTGGTCAGTCACTCACGCCTGGTCATCTCTTGGTTAGACTATTGCAATGCGCTCTACATGGGGCTACCCTTGAAGAGCATCCCGAAGCTACAGCTGGTTCAAAATGCAGCCGCACAGATGATATTAGGTGCCCCTAGGATGGCACATGTAACACGTTTGCTGCAGGAGTTGCATTGGGTGTTGGTTATCACCTTTAAAGCCCTACATGGCATGGGTCCAGGTTACCTGAGGGACTGT